CTGCAAATCTATTTTCCAGTGCTTTTCATTTACCTGATGATACTTCTGCACCACTATTTTTACCTAATGATATTATAGTACTTAATGTTAATTTTAATGTTAAAATTCACAATAAAGATTATCATTATTCACACTTAATAGCAGGATTTATTAGAACACTTGATAATACATTATTACCTTTAAGTATAAATGATCCAAATCTAGAAGGATTATTATTTTCTGACTTATTTCCAAATGGAAAATAATACTATCATAATATGAATCTTAATTTAAATGCAGAATATGTTACACATAAAAAAACTTATCCTAAATATATTAAACAACATATACTTAATATAAATTCTTGATTTAGACTTTATCATAAATAGATAGCATAGTCATATTTACAATTGGAAAAGATTAGAAATCATCAAAATAATCAATAAATTTTAAGACAAAATCAAGCTGATAAGGTTCATTGATCTCTAACTGCAGCACAAATTATTTAAAAATCAAGCTATTCTAATAGACAAATAATAGATGAATTTATAATAACTACATTGCTAACATTTATTCGTACTGGTGATACTTAATTTCATGAAAAAGAACTTCATGTAAATACAATGATTTCGTCATATAGGTTACCATCTTTATTTATTACATTTATGATGGCAGAAAATCATTGAATACATTTACATAGAATTTTAAAAGCAATAGACAATCATAATACTATACCAACAAATAGATATTTGTATAGTACATTACATTTTATTCATCATTTACAACAACTTAAAAAACACATTTGAAAAAAACCTGAACATTTAAAATGAGATGAAATTAAACATTTTTTTAAAGAGTAGAATTTCAAAGTCGAGGTACAGTATATACAGATGATATATATTGAACTACAAAAATAATTGAACAAATAATTGTTGAGAATCTTATAAGATCTGATTTACTAGATTCCATTACTGAACCAGATTTATATGCAAAAGTAATGGCAAATCAAATTCATACATGTAATCTAAAATGTGGAGGTCCAGCAATTATAGGACAAGTTTGCAAAAAGAAAGTTCCTTGTCCTTTTTCTTTAATTACATAATATGATAATAATGCATAACATTATGTATATAAATGTATAAAACCTGAGGATCAATGGGTAGTTTCTTATCATCCTGAAACTTTAATAATTTGGAATGCTCACATGAATATACAAGACGTCAGTTCTCATAAGTTAGCTTTTTATTTAACAAATATTTAGCTAAAGTAGAACTTTCTCATGTTTTCAATATAAAAGAAGGTGATAAATTTAAAGAACATATAATAGCTCAAAGATTAGGTTCAATGGAATTATTATTCTTAATATTAGGTAAAACTATTTTAATTCATCTTGTTTAGTTAAGTATCTTACTACAGATCTTCCTACAAGTAAAAAAAAAGCTATTTGTCTTATTTATTTGATCAATGAAAAAGAAAAAGATTCCTGTTAGAAAAATCATATTGAATAATATTTTAATTGACCTAATTATGAAGAATTTAACAATATAACTTATTCACATTATTTTAAAAATTATAAAGTTTATTCTTCAACGAGAAAGCAATATATTTATACTGATCAGTTAGGTAATTAAGTTATAAAAAAACTATTCCAAAATTAGTTAGATTTCGTTATTTAAAATTACAAGATAGAGAATTATATTTTTATTAAAAACTTTTACTTGAAATTCCTTGTCTATAAGAAAAAGAAATACTTGGAAACTTTCAAACTTATCAAGAACATTGGTTGCATCATTATCCAGAATTATATGAAAGAATACAACAAGTAACTCAAGATATTTGCGATTTACACAATTAAAATATAATGCTACATTCAATCAAGTATTAAATACATTGATAAATAATTTACAAAATATCCTTCCAATTTCTATATTAGAAATTGTTGATATTTAACTTAAATCTTTAAGAATTAACCCACCAATTTATACTCAATATAATGCATTGAATCTTTCAAGAGATCAGTTAAATATGATTTCAATTATTTGTAATATTTTAGAATCAAGAACACAAAAAAATAAATATTCTTATTTTTTTATTATAGTTCAACTGGAACAGGAAAATCATTTATAATTAATTTAATTATAAAAGATTTATGAAAAAAGAAATCAAGTTACTTATTATTAGCTCAAACTGGAGTAGCAGCTCAGAATATTGGAGGAGAAACCATATATTCTTTATTAAGTATTCATGAAACTCTTGGTAAATTCCAATTCTTGGCTTTTCATAATATTGAATTTTTTAAAACTTTAAAAAAAATTGATACTTTAATATTTGATAAAATTTTAATGGTTTCTGCAAAACTTTTTAGTTTTATTTTCAATATATTTTCAATTATTCAGCAACAAACAATAGCATTTGGTGGAATAAATATAATTGTTGTAGAAGATTTAGCATAATTACCTCCAGTTTCTGGATTACCAATATATAAATGTTCAGAATGGAAATTATTTTATTCTTTATTTCTAAGACAACCACAAAGACAAATTCAAGATTTGCAATACTATAATGCATTACAAGAAATTAGATTAAATGAAATGTCTTAACTACATAGAAGTTTTTATATCAAAAAGCTAGAAGTTTTGATCACTAACAACCGCTTAATGTTATACTTAATATTTCAAATATCGTTGCATATAAACAAACTGCTGATTGAATTAATCATCTTATTTGTAATATGCTTTCAGTGAACAAAAACAAATTTTTGATTAGTACAGCTATTGATTTCATTAATATGCAACAATATGATTTTGATGATTCCTAAAAATTATTTAAAAAGAAGACAAATCTACCAAGTCATTTACGTTTATAACAAGATGCATGTGTAATGTATCTTAAAAATGATTTAATTCAACAAAATATTTGTAATGATACTATTGGAATTGTAATCAATATTGATCTGAAAGCTTTAAAAATAAGAATAGCATTTAGTGTAATGGGTGGAATTATTAATATTGAAATAAATAGAGAAACTATATCATTTATGATTGATAGAAAACTATCAAGCAGATGCCAATTTCCATTACAAAATGCTTTTGCATTTACAGTGCATAAAACACAAGGATTAACTTTACCAGAAGTATCTTTATGCCTTAATAATCAAATATTTTCTGCTGGACAAGCTTATATGGCATTGAGTCAATGTTCAGTTTAGTCTAAAGTGCACATTTCTTCTCTGCATCCTTCAGCTTTCATTACAGACAATTTGATGATTGAAGAATATAAACGCTTACAATTAAAGGCCTCTATAGCTTTGCCTTTATAAATATGCTAATTTTAAAATTTTCAATATTTATTTATATAGATTATAATATAGCTAATTAATAAATTCTTTTATATAAAGACAAACAATTTATATATGTATTTTAAGTATTGTATTTATTTGTTTTTTTCATTTTATTAGTAAATGATTCTTATAAATTGCACTGCAATGAATAGGGTAGGTTGATAAGTTGCATGGGTACGAAGTCCTCTCTGTCCGCAATTTCTAGTTGACAAATATGACAGATTGGTCATATTTGACCGATGATCCATATTTAACATATTAATTATATTTGTTATATTTGATAGATTTATTTTATTTATTATATTTATCATATTAGTTATATTTATTATATTAGATATATTTATCATATTATTTTACTATTAGTTTATTTTATATAAATAGCATGTATTTTCTTTCCATTGAGTTGAAAGATAACTCGAGATAGGGTTTTGTGAATAAATCAAGAGTTCAATAAAGATATTTGTTATTCATTTACTATTTATTACCTTTTGCCGTGTCTTCATACAGGCGTGATTGTGATAAAGTCATTGTGATTAATTCGACGGACTGAATTAAATTATCTAAGTTTTATTTCCAGCCTTCCGGCTAACACCGAGATGGCGATGGTGTTCTTACGACCGTTTAATTGGGACATATAACCACTAATTGCGCCTCCAAATATTAACTACCTGTTTTTAAAAAAAAAAATTAGATTTTAATATCTTTTTTTAAAAAATTTGATGACGCGAATTAATTGTACCTATGGTTCATAAAACAAAAGAAGTTTTTTTGGACATTTTTGTTGATCATGTTTCGATTACTATTTATTTATGTATTGTGTCCCAAAACTGTTGTTTTTGTAGATCGATTTGTCCTTTTAGCCAAATTACAGTATTACTCCCCGACCAAAATGTTTCAACAAAAGTCCTTGATGAAATTTTGATATAAAATGTGGTGTTAGATTTTTCTTTATATAAAAGATAAAGTTACTTAGAATTCTTTTTTTATGCTTTCAACAAATAAAAGTTTCTAACCATTCTAAAGTCTTTTATTATAATATTAATAAGAATTACGATATAGCGTCAAGATTTTTATAATTCTGTTTAGCGAAATTTATTACTAAATCTCAAATAGTATACATGTAAATTTTTGTAAATTGATTATAAACTTTCTTAAAATAATAGTTTTGCAACTGCACGAATCCACATGTAATATTGCAGAAAGATTTATGCTGAGACACAATAGATCTGCGGAATACTTTCTTAGTTTGTAATAAATAGAATTAATTATATTATGATGAAATTTTTAAAAATATAATTCAAATTATGTGATTTGTTCGAACAAGACATGAATAAACCTATGTGCGTCATTAGCTCGAATAAACTCGTGAATTCAATAAAGTAAATGTGTCGATTAATAACATTAACCAAAATTTATTCAGCTCATGACCCTTGATCACGATTCGAGTTTCCGAGTTATATTATATTTAAAATATAAAAAATATTTAAGATTTAAAGTTAAAGCACTTTGCATCACGTCATTTGAAAAAATGATGCTATCACCATTTTGTAATTGATGTTTTATCATGCTACAAAAGCAATTTAAATACTTAAGGAAACTAATTATTTATCTTGTATAAAAAAAAAATAGAAAGTCAATTCTTTTTTTATTAATCCTTTATTACATATTAAACCTAAAAATTTTATTTGAATGTTTGACTGGATAGTTCAATGTTTGATGTTCTATTTTTTTTATTCGGATTGAACGGATTGAATCTCTTGCTTAAAACACTAAGAAATTCGTAATGAACCAATAAACATTCTCCGCCGTAGAGTGGCGCCTCATAGTACATCTCGCATCGACTAATATTATTATCATCTAATTCTTGAAAATGAGAAGTATTATCCGAAGAATTAATTCGATCCTTTTCGGAGAAATCTGATCTTATGAATATATAACATTAAATTATCGATTTAATATAAATTACCCTATCTCAACCCTTTGTTTCTTTACTCCTTAAGCTTGCAAAAATTTAGTCATTTAAAATTTTTCCTATAAACTAGTTTTTAATCATGGATGCACGCCCGATTTATTTGAAAGCTACACAAGAAGACAGGAAGGAGGCACACAAAAGAGGAGACAAAACATGTTCATTGTTTAACGTACTGAAATAAATGATGAAACAATAACCTGAAAAGATGACGATGTCTGAATTCAGCAAAGAAGTTAACCAATACTATACTGATTTTTTTTGCTCGAATTATGGTTTGCAATTTTATTCAGAAATTACATTTAAATTCAATTTACGTTCTGTTTAAATTGTAAATTACTTTTTCGTTGGAATCAAATTTGCTTTAAATCATGATTAAAATCACATTATGATCATTAACATCAAATTTGAAAGCAATTAGTCTATAATAATAGTACAAAACTTTCGTGAAAAAAGAATCGAGATTACTTACCTATCCATAAGATCTTTTACCTCTATGGGTTCATTATCATCTTTTTCGATGACCTTCAGAAATTTCAGTAATTTCACAGTAATTTCATCAAAAAATTGCATGGGTGTATTTTAAACGCAGGATTTGTAATAAAACTAGAATATAAAGGAAAAATTCAATAATCAATTTATGATAAATGAAAATTGACACACCGATGACGTTTCCAAACCTACATATTAATAAGGCATTCGAATGTCAGTCAAAGAACGTATTATATTTAGAGATATTTCAAATGTACTTACTTACATCTCTGTTGGAAAATACTACGTTTGTGCCGAAGTAACTAGCCATTAAAGATCCAGAAAACGCTTCTTCGAGCAATGCTTTAGGATGCAAATATAATTCAAATTATAATGTTAAAACAAAATAAGGAATCAAAAAATATAATAAAAATAAAACCTAACCTGTTTTCGTAAATACATCTTTTATAAGTTCCAAATCGGTAGTAACGACGACATGCCATTCTCCATGGAACCAACACTATAATTTATTTATTTACTTCGGTTTTAGTAAATTTTCTTTTAAAATCAATAAATCGTATAAGAATGATATGACTTGTTACTTTTCCAATTCCATATTTCTCAAGAGCTTGTCGTGAATCTTCCCAACGTTTGACAGGGCCACCATTAAAGAACATAGATTTAAAAAAAATAAAATAACTTATAGTTGGTACATTTTCAAGTCCTTCGGTACTCTTATTGAAAAAAAAATGTGGTATATATAAGAAAAGAACTCGGCTAATTTATCAACTTCTCCTCACTCATAAAATGTTTACCAATGACTTTATTGCCTCTTCATTTTTCTTCCGTTCAACCTTTAATAAAATATGGATTCTCATTGAAAATTATTTTTTTCAAATTTGAGTTACAGTATATTTACTTTCAATTTTGATGATAAAACTTAGACGTTTATTTATCATGCGTAGCACATAAATATCGTTATCGGGACGCGGAAATTTTTTTTTTTGTTAGAAAATAATATACATATTTCTCATATTATTCCATATATCGACAATAATATAGGAGCGTTTCCAGTAAAATCACATTACGGATCATATGATTTACTATGCCTCATGACTTGATTTTACTGGAAATGTTCCCATATTTCAACAATATATCAAAAAAAATTTTGATTTCTTACGCCCTTTATTATCAATCTCTTTTTTTATTGTTTTTATAAAACATGGCTCGACAAATTATATAATTTTATTTTTATTTTTTTTCATGATTGTTTGTCAATTAGATAAATTTAGTCATACTACCTGAAATACTGTGAATTTTTTGTGGCGTTCTTCCGTGCCAAATATGATCCTGGTGAATTGAATACTTCTTTGGAAATTCCATTTAAAAAAGCCAAGAATTGGTTTATTATTCTCATTATTATTAACATAAATTTAATTACTCTCGTATTAATAATTAACCGACGAACAGCAAAAAAAAGCAACGGAAGATGGTTATGAAGTATTGTTTGATTTGAATACATAATAATGGAAAAATTTTGAAAATGGAAAAAAATCAAACAACGAATACCAATAACAAAAAAAATATTTTTTTTTTAAAAAAAAAAAAAAAAAAACGTCGTTTTTACATGTTGAAAATATCATGTATTTTAAAATACTGTATTGTAATCCTCAAGAGCTGTCGCATTTATGCTTATGTTTCTCACCCCACATAATAAATTCTTTTCTAAATAAATCTGGGAAGATATTTGTATAATTTGTATAAATACGAGACTTGATTTTACATGCTAATGTATCATACATAAAAATTTTCAATAAAAAAAGATATTAATTTTATTTAAAATTTTGTCTCCTAGAATAAGGAGCTGTAATAATATTTTATTCTTTCATTTTCTTGAACCTGAAACATCATATCCATCAGAAAAGAAGGAATCAAAAAATGAAGAGCCAAACATGTTCATTTCATTTCGTAAATAAATGATTAAATATAAACCATATAATAATATGCCAATGAGCAAATACAGCAAGTTCGGTTCAGAAAAATGGAAAAATTTATCTGAAGAAGCGAATTACGACGAGAACGAGTAACATGATCAATGCATCGCAAATCATGAAAGAAGGAACAAATATAAAAGACGATTACAAAAAAATGTAACCGAACAAATTGAAATTACTTTAAATATCACGTGTTAAGTAATCAATCTGAAACCAATCAAATTGCAGCGAGTGGCTCGAGATTGTTTTTTCACCGAAAGTTCTTCGGTATTTATAAATGATGATATCTTCAAAACAGTTATATTTCCGAAAACTCACAAACAATAATAACCACTTCATTAAAGACTTTTCAAAAATAATAAATTATAATAATAGTTCAAAGTTTCAATGACAATTATAGGGTATTGTTACATAAACATGATAACTATAAAGAAATTACATGATTAATTAGAAAAGATAATATATATATGTTGTGCCTCAGATGTCGATCGCCTCAGTTGACAACTGAGGCACCTCAAATATCGATCATCATTTGA